TAAACTTAATCTGTCTAACGTATGTAGTGCTTACGTGTAGGCTTCTATGGACAAAGTTAGAATATTCACCAATTCAGCTAAAAGCATAAAAGAACCTAAACTATTTTGATATTAGCTTAATTAATATTAGATGGATGATGGAGCATTATTTCAAGAGATATTCGTTATGTTTCTTATTCTTAAATTTATACGATACACACATGATCACTTTGAACCAAAACGGTACCTTAAATAGCGTTTCTCAACACACTCTCACTACAAGCATGATATGAAGAATATTGAAATGTTTCAATAAAATTATATATATCACATATTTGGAATTGATTATCCACTGTTCTTTTATTAGTACGACCAAGCAAGATGAAGACGGTGTACAAAATGTGATGCGTAGAGGTGTTAGCCGCCGACGTTGCGCCGCCGATAAAATCTCCCCCCGCCGCCGCTGCCGAATGAGGCGTCTCGGCGGGAATTTTTCCGCCGCCGCCGATCGAATTAGGGTGTACAGTTCAAACTTCTTCCTTTTCTAAATTACCAACTGTCAATGATCACAAATGATGTCAGTCGTGTATTCCAATATCTAATTGCTGCCTTCCTCTCTTTCTTCTTTTCTTTCATTGTGTCGTCGGTGACGTGGGCAGTATAAGAATTATACAATGGCACGATCGACTTGGAACAAATAAAGTAACGAATTGCTATGAATATCATTTTCTTGACTGTTACATAACAATTAATGATGAAGCTGCGCTTTCAATCTCTAACTCAGGTCATGATCAGGCATATGAATGAATGAACAATGCGAACGCCTCCGTCTATACGTTTCGTACATTTCTGTTTTGTCGCCTAATTTTTCAATGTCAACACAAGCGCTTGTACTGAACATTGAAAAATTAGACGATAGAACAAAAATGTAAGAAACGTATAAATGGACGCGTCGCATTGCACTTCCATTGACACCACTAACATTGCTGCTATCATTGTATTGTATCTTGCAAGCGAAGAAGTACATGGCTACTCCGCTAGGATGACGCAGTGTACTCGAGATGTTCACATCAGACTCCGTCCTTTCAAGGCCGGTTAATCTCTTGCATGGTCACACTTCGGTTATCTGACATCATCAGTAACGAAACAAGCGATCGATAGCAAGACTATTTATTGCAAGATTTGTGTTGACAAACAACTCACCGAGCATCCCGATGTCCCATTGTCATCGTTATCGATACAGAAACAACTTACACATTACACCGAGAACGTGAGCACTGGAAAAATGCTTTTACATCTTTCTATGAAACACGGAATCGTCAGTAAAGAACAAGTGAAAACGAAGCTCCGTATTTCCCAGGCATGACATGCGACATGTGTACATGTTGCTTCTTTCTCGGATAGATGTCGCACTTTGCCGAAGACATATGAATCATGTCAAGAACTTCATAGACACCCTTGTCTGAACCAGAAAAGATGGTTTCATTCGTTGTTAATATTTCTGAAACCATCTTTAATTAATTGGTTTTCTAATTTCCTGGTCATTACTGGATGCGGTATAGAATGACTGTTATATGGTACGCTGAAAATGTTTGTTTGTTCAATATCAATATCACAAATAGTTGTAACTGTTCAAGAAGTTGCTAATGTGCTGCGTGTTCTAATCTTTGTGTGGTTGATCTGGTTTGTACTGCTATCTTATTTCTTTTGGATGAAATGTTTGTAATTGAGATAATTCGGCTAGTGCACCAATTTTTTGATCAAAATATAGGTTGCAGATCTTTTCCTATCTCTATTTCAAATCTAACTTTATAACAAATAATAATAGTATAAACTGAGAAAAGAAAGACTCATACAATTTTAAAACTATCGGGGAATAATCCAGAACTAGAACTAACCAAGACTGGGAGAACATCAACAAGGGTGTCTAGAAAGTTCTTGACATGATTCACATGTCTCCGACAAAGTGCGACATCTATCCGAGAAAGAAGCAACATGTATAGCAAGGATGATACTTATGGAAGGATTTATAATCTTTACATAACGCCTTATTATCTATTTTTAAATTATTCGTCTTAAAAAATGATGCAAATGTATATGGTATTGATAAACTTCTATCAACACAAATGAATAATCGAAGCAACCCCATCAAACAATATGTTGCTAAATGGGTTATTCAAACAATTAGTACTCTCCTGGTTACACTACTGCAGCAAGTCATTTAGAATGCTCACAACAGTGCAACATAGATATTATTTACTCCCAAAAGAACCATTACTCATATATATAACAACACCGATGATAAGTGGCACAGGTCGCTTAGTACAGAATATGTATTTCCTGATGGGATGGAAAGAGATTATGTTAAAAGACTATTTGGAGATACACATTTTGTATTCTGCCATATTCAAGTGCATATCGTGATTACATCATCTATAATATTGCTCTATTTTTTATATATTACGTCAGGTTTTGGATATGACTCAGGGGTGCGACGTAATATATTTCGGCAAATGTGGCTTTCATTATTTTGCTCGTCTATATAAAATGAGATCTAAACTGCAAAATAACTTTACAGCACAAGAACATGTAGCCCTCAAAATTCTGTACTTCGCTTCTAGTGGCGTCCAATTCGAATAAAAAAACAGGACAAAAGCAAGAAAAAGCTAACTGGAGTGTGAGTATGCAGCATGATGCATTTTGTAGAGCTGAAAAACTTTCTATCTTATATGTGTAAAATGTCCTTGTAACTGTATGCCGCAAAAAAACAGATACAGAGATGGCTCACGATTTGGGGATCATCAATTATTAGTGATAAAATGCGAGGAGAATTTTTTTTTTTGTTTTAATGAGAATTATTTAAACAAGAGGAATGAAGCTAATGGTAATATTATTAAATGATCAATTTGGTACAAAAACAGGGCTAGCGGCAAAAAGCCGGTACATGGTGAGTAAGTGTGTGTGGGGTAGATAAGCGATTAGACGAAAGACCTTTGATCCAGACAGCCTTCTGTTCAGAGTTGTGCTTGGTGGTTAGTGTAAAGGTGGGTGACCATCTGCGAAGACGGCCGACTGCATGGATGATATCTAGTTTCTCGAAGTTGAGAAGTCTCTCAAAGGCTTTTTAGCACCCTGTATCGTTGCTTCTTACTTGCGGATGCCTCGTCATCTGTGTCAAAATCATTTTGTGTTTGTTCTTTTAAGTTGGGATGTTTTTTGGTGTATACAAAGTCTAATATCCAATCAGATTTCACTTGAGAAGATGATAATAACATTTTAATTTCATCCAATGAGCTTTCATCCCAATCTACATATTTTTTCACAGCTTCGTCAAAATATTGTACAAAATACAAATGTGGGCGCTTTAATCTTGAAAGCGTTTGAAATTGTCTAATAGTTTCACTGTACGTCACATTGAGTGGAAATGATCGCTTTTTGCTGTGTTGACCAAAATTTAATAAAAATGGTATTTTATTCATTCGCATAAATAATATTAGAGGAAGACGACATGTTGTAGAACAGTTTCCTTTTGCTATTCCTTCAAGATGATCATGATATTGACCTCATGTTATTAAGACATCTGTTTGGTTTTAATAAGTCACCCATGTTCACATTTTTTCTGGTTAAGAGTAATAACCAATTTTTTGTTCTGTTCTGTCATTTTACTTGTTTTTACTTTGCAAAATTAACACATGCACTTTTTACCAGGTAAAAAAACCAGTAATGTTATGGTGATACCTTTTCTTTACTTGGAAAAAACCAAATAAATGCTGGAAAGCGATCGTTTACTGTTCCCACTTCCGTGTGACAATAGTTTTATACTAAAAATCTAGAGCGACAGTAAAAAGGATTATTACTTGCTTTACAAATGAATATTCAGCGTCACTAGTAGATACTTTTGTATTCTTCTTCATATGCAGGAAATATATGCATTTGTTTCTTTCGGTAAGCATTATAAAAAAATTGTTTTGGGGCGTGATGTTACTTTCGAAAATCTTATAAATTCATTGAAACAAAATTTTCAAATCGATATAAATATGCATCATACAATACAGTTATTTGACGCATTATATCAGCGTTATATTGATTTGGATGAAGAATATTTTGAGGAAATACGAGAACATCTACTTCTATCGTTTCAAACATTGTCATCTAATGTTCTGAAATTTCGTCTGGTTAAAAATTATGTTGATTCTTCACCCACTGACGGCTCTTATGATAACCAGGATGGGATAGAACTGGATGATCAAACGATATCGCACAGAGGTAACCTGGATTAATCTTCTACACTAAATTTATAATTATAAACAAACAAGTATTTTCGTAAAATAGGTTCTGCTTCGAATTATTTGTGGAAAGAAGATGAAGGAATAGATTTTGAAGGAGAAGAAGCAATAGAAATAATAGAATCTCCGTCTGAAAGCACATTTTTGGTAGAACAAAATTTTCCGGTACAAGTGGCAGCAATCATTTGGCATAAAGTTTCAGAAGCGGAACAATTTGACGATATTTTGAGTAGGAACAGAATCAGGAAAACAAGAATCACGTCTAGTGAATATATTTATTTTCAACTTAGGCACAGAAGCTATGGAACAGGATTTGCAAGAAACAGCTTCGCTCGAAACATTTAAGCTCAAAGAAGAATATTTAAAAGAAGAACTTTTTTCAGAAAGTGTATTTGGCGAGAGCATCACATGCCACGAAATGTCGCCCTCAATAAGCGGTAAGTTCTAAGATATGATTTTACCTTAAATCCCCAGAGTCAAGAAAACGAAACCCAAAATATGCTTCACATCACTTCAGAGCATTGTTCCAGAACAAGGAAACTGTAACGAACTCAAACATAGAACTTACCACCATTTCGCGCTTGTTTTCAGAAATTTCTTCTATGTTCGTAAGTGGATAACCGCACAATACTACTTTCCTGGGTATTGTCTGCGACTGAAAACATCGCTTAAACTAAATCAATATCTAAAGGACATCTCATCATTTCTCTTCGCAAACAAACAAACTAAGCAATAAAATAAATTTAGTTATGCAGTTTACTGCAAAGCTAAGCCGACTTCCTAACTCCCTATTCGCACAAATTCGCTTTGTATTTCTCAACAGTTTAAATTTTAGAATACAACAACGAACTTTCTGATCTACTTGAGGCTTCGTTCAATACGCTGGATAAAGTTTCATATAGACAACATAGTTTATAAAGCAATTCTTTAAAAGATTTTAAGAATCTCCATTCGGCTATTTTATTTTAGGTAGTACCAACATTGAATTGTATTCCATTGAACCGAATCTTTTGCAATCATCAACTATTGATACTGCCTACGGTATGAAGTTTTTCTTTTAAAACAGATTAATGAAACAGAACGAGAAAACTAGAGTTGTCTTTTTCTATTTCTAATATTTAGCGACTGATTCAAATGCAATGACGATGAACAACATTAATGACAACGGTGGAAGTAAGGAATAAAAGGAGGAGGGAAGTGTTTTGTGACAAATAAGCGCAAACATTGAAAGGAATAAAAGTTTGCGTTTTTATTGCAAACTCCTTTTGCTTGCGCTGACTCGGAAACAATAGTTTTTGAAAAACTTTGCAAAGAAACAAATTTGGTTTGCGTTTGAGCGACTACTTCAGAAATGTTGCAACGAGGAGACTTCACTTATCAGACGTAATTACACAAATGAAGATATTCGGCATTATTTTGATTAGGAGGTAAACCATTACCCATTACCGTTACCGGTATAGGGTAACGATTCAAGCGCTACCATCACTACTAACGAGTAACGGTCGTTACTAGTGACGAATAGTGGCTTGACTGTATTTGACTATCAAACACTCAAACGCGTTCTCTTCTGGAACAATAGACTCTATCACTGATTTTGACTAGTGAAGAGTGGCTCTTTCTCCAGCGTGAGCTGAGCTGCAGACTTTAAAAATAATTTAATAAGCTATTCTGTCTGGATAAGTCCTTGACGGGAGAGAGGTATATCGGCAATTGTTCTATTTTCGAAAACAAAATTCGACACCCTCGTTGCGCCTTCGTTCATAGGAATATTAGTGTATACGGACTGTACAACTGTCGTAGCATATCACAATCTGCTCAAATTGATCCTTCAACTAAGAATCTCCTCATTCTTAGGTACAATCTCAACCAGTAATTGTTTTGTACTATTGAGAACTGCACAGAAATCGTAGTAATATTTCTCCTTAATAAATTTCGATGAATTGTCCACAACACGGATTTGACAGTAAAATTTCGATGCTCTCCTTTTATGTATTTTTTGGACTATGTAGAACTTCGATAGGTTAGGTAAAGGTCTGTGCCTAATATTACTTGCGAGTCTAGCTGGACTATGGCCTTGTGTGATGAACTCATTAACTTTATCTTTCACAGTTTATACGTTTTCCACATTGACCTTTTTGCAATTTTTGCAATCATGTGTATTATTCATAGGATGCAGGCTTTCTCCTCATAAACATCTTTACTCGTCACCACAATCATTGCTCTTTATCCGACTGTTGAATCACCAAATCTCGGCACCTCCTTAGATCATTCAATGCTCTGTATTCCTCTCTTGTCATATTGAGACGAAATGCATAATATAGTTGCACTATCGCGTTGTGTATCAAACCTTTTTTCAGTTTAAAAGGAGGATGCGTCCCCGAAACATGTTTTATCTTTGCCTACAAACTGCGTTTTCACCTTCACATGTTTTGTTAGAATATATTTTAGCCCATACTTTAATTTATCTGCATCTAAATGCAAATGTTCTACACAAAAGATACACGTATTAAAAGAGTCATGAATCATATACAGGAACAATGGTCTCAGTGAACATTTTAGGTCAGAATTCACATTAACTTATTTTTAGCGTTTGATTTAACCTTACACTTTACTAGTGACGGTTCGCCCCCTAGTTTTGATGCTATACGTCGGAGTGTACCACGGAAACTTACATGCTCATTTTCATTCATTTCAGGTATAGAGAAACAATTACGGTTTGTGGCTAACATTACCGAGTTGCAACGTCCCCAGTGTTGGAGTGATGTTTTTCCAAAGTCTCGAAAGAAGAAAAGTAATCATTTTATACATGAAACATTCAGAAATAAAGTTTGTATTTTATTTGAACAGAAAAGATCAAGAAGGTCAAGCTACTATGATTAGAAACAATAGACGCGGACGACCACATGGAATTAATGGTAGAAGTCAGTCTCATGAATCGCGTATATGGATTAAATCAGAAAAAAGATCAAGCAAGAGGACATATCCAATACTGGGCGTAAGCGTCATTTTTCTTCTTCAGTGCTTAACTGTGTTTCTTATTATTGGTTTAAGCTCACGCCGTATCATCGCAACAAGATTGAAAATGATAGATGTAACTTGGCCATATTTGTCTTAGCTGATGTGGGGAATGAGTCTACAAATGATATAATAAACAAGAAACCATGTTATTTACATCCGACACAGTCAC